ATGAAATTCATATGGAAAAATAAAAGACCCAGAATAGCAAAAGCAATTCTAAGCAGGAAGTGCGAATCAGGCGGTATAGCGATACCAGACTTAAAACTATATTACAGAGCAATAGTAACAAAAACAGCATGGTACGGGTACCAAAACAGGAGGGTGGACCAATGGTACAGAATAGAGGACACAGAGACTAATCCACAAAGCTACAACTATCTTATATTTGATAAAGGAGCTAAAAGCATGCAATGGAGGGAGGATAGCATCTTCAACAAATGGTGCTGGGAAAACTGGAAATCCATATGCAACAAAATGAAACTGAATCCCCTCCTCTCGCCATGCACAAAAGTTAACTCAAAGTGGATCAAGGACCTAGATATCAAATCAGAGACTCTGCGTCTGATAGAAGAAAATGTTGGCTCCGATCTACATATTGTAGGGTCGGGCTCCAAATTCCTTAATAGGACACCCATAGCACAAAAGTTGATAACAAAAATCAACAAATGGGACTTACTTAAACTGAAAAGTTTTCTCTCAGCAAGAGAAACAATAAAAGAGGTAAATAGGGAGCCTACATCTTGGGAACAAATTTTTACTCCTCACACTTCAGATAGAGCCCTAATATCCAGAGTATACAAAGAACTCAAAAAATTAAACAATAAGATAACAAATAACCCAATCAACAAATGGGCCGAGGACCTGAACAGACACTTCTCAGAGGAGGACATACAATCAGTCAACAAGTACATGAAAAAAATGCTCACCATCTCTAGCAGTCAGAGAAATGCAAATCAAAACCACCCTAAGATATCATCTCACTCCAGTAAGATTGGCAGCCATTATGAAGTCAAACAACAACAAGTGCTAGAGAGGATGTGGGGAAAAGGGTACTCTTGTACATTGCTGGTGGGACTGCAAACTGGTGTGGCCAATCTGGAAAGCAGTATGGAGATTCCTGGGAAAGCTGGGAATGGAACCACCATTTGACCCAGCTATTGCCCTTCTTGGACTTTTCCCTGAAGACCTTAAAAGAGCGTACTACAGGGATACTGCTACAACGATGTTCATAGCAGCACAATTCACAATTGCTAGACTGTGGAACCAACCCAGATGCCCTTCAATAGATGAATGGATAAAAAAAATGTGGCATTTATACACCATGGAGTATTACGCAGCACTAAAAAATGACAAAATCATAGAATTTGCAGGGAAATGGATGGCACTAGAGCAGATTATGCTTAGTGAAGCTAGCCAATCCCTAAAAAACAAATATCAAATGTCTTCTTTGATATAATGAGAGCAACTAAGAACAGAGCAGGGAGGAAGAGCAGGAAGAAAAGATTAACATTAAACAGATACATGAGGTGGGATGGAAAGGGAGAGAAAAGGGAAATTGCATGGTAATGGAGGGAGACCCTCATTGTTATACAAAATTACATATAAGAGGTTGTGAGGGGAATGGGAAAATAAACAAGGAGAGATATGAATTACAGTGGATGGGGTAGAGAGAGAAGATGGGAGGGGAGGGAGGGGGGATGGTAGAGGATAGGAAAGGTAGCAGAATACAACAGTTACTAACAGGGCATTATGTAAAAATGTGGATGTGTAACCGATGTGATTCTGCAATCTGTATTTGGGGTAAAATTGGGAGTTCATAACCAACTTGAATCTAATGTATGAAATATGATATGTCAAGAGCTTTATAATGTTTTGAACAACCAATAAAAAAAATTTAAAAAAAAAAGATATTAGGAAGTTTTATACTAAGCATCATACAAATGATTTTTTTAAAGACCCCCCACAAGATTGCATTCAGCTGAAAACAGTTAAAAGTTCCCAGGATGAGAAGAGACAAACTCACCTTTCAAAAATCTGGCTCATGGTCACAGCAGAGTTTATATGAATGTATTAAATTTGACACAAGTATATTATCTGCTTTAATTTCAGTACTATAAAGTAAGTAAGACAGTGTACATACCAGTAGCAGAAGACAAATGAATATAGAACAGTGTCAGTGAAAGACAAATAACTGAGATGGATAGTCAGTAACATTATCATTGCATAGTTTATCCTCCAGATTTTGGAGCTTGACCTCTTGGTTCAATAACCTTGATACTCTCCTTACTGTGACTCTAGTTAGGTTACTTAAACTCCCTGATCCTAACTGCCTCTTTAGCAAAAAAAAAAAATAATTATATTAACTAATAGTGTATGTGGGAAAATTAAATGACATAAAATTAGTATCTATTTTAACAAAGAATGTTTGTGAAAGACTTGCGATAAGTATGAAATACATTTGGAATAGGGTTTGATACATAAATTAGCTCAATAAATATCCATGACAATAATTACCATTGAAGTTCTCATTGATCTTCATTAAATAGGACCTCTCCTCTGTCTGATATAAATATACATTACAGTATGTATATATGTGTGTAAATATACATACACAATTATTTTTTGAATTAGTAACTTCTTAGAAAAGTTTGAACATCATTAAAACTAAAGCCATTCTTCAGTTATTTGTGATATCATAGTATTCATTAAGTAATAAACTTTTTAAAGGACCTAAAGAACCAAGTATAAAAGCAATTAAGAAAAAATTAAATTGTTTTAGTTTCAAAAATTTGTTAAGATTTAAAAATATTTTTTAAAATTGAATCACACAATGGAATTCCCAGATCTTATATGCACATTTTGCTGAATTCTGACAACTGTATATACCCAAGTAACCAAACTAACAACCCCTCATTTTCTCCTATTCTCTCTCAAGTCAAGCACTGTTCTAATGTCTTTCACCATACATTAGTTTTGTCTGTTTGAGGACTTAATAGAAATGAAATCATATCACCCATGTTCTTTGTGTCTGGCTTATTTTGTTCAGCATAGTGGTATTTTTTAGTTTAATCTATGATAATTATACCATTGGTTCAAAACTTTTTATGGTTGAGTAGTATTCTACTGCATATATTTATGATACATTGATTCACTGATTCACCCATCAGTGGAAATATGTCTTTTTTTTTAAGATTGATACTCTTAAAATTAAAGATACTAAGAATATTCATTCATATATGATTCTTCATGTAAACACACCTGATGAATTGTGCGGCCATGTGGAAAGCGTATGATTAACTTCTGGAGAAATTGCCAGACTAGAACTGCTTCTGAATCCTTTTCTTCTTAAAATTGGCTGCAGTGCTTTTTGCTGTCTACTGTTAAAAATGCTAATAGTTTCCTTGTTTTTAATCAATATTAACGCCTTGAAGGGCTATTAAAATAATTGATTGGGACAGTTCATGTGAGGTATTTAACACATACAACTATACAAAAACTAGTTGTTGTTGTATTACTTTTGCTCTTATTATTTTTTTAAATGACAACAGACAGAATGCCTGAGTTTAAAATCCAGCTTTAGTATATATTCTTTCTGCAATTGCGATCAAGTTGCTTAAGTAAGTTTTGGTTTCCTTACCTATAAACCAGTTAGAAAGTATAAAAATTCTTCTCCTACTGCTACTGTAAAAATTAAATGGATATATGTAAATGAAAATTTTTTTTTTATGGGAATGGTGGGGTATGCCAAAGCCAGCCTCAGGAATTTAGGGGAGGCCCTGTCTCAAAAAAAATATATATATATTTTTTTTTTAAAAAGAGATGGAAATGTACTCAGTGGTTAAGTGCCCCTAAGTTCAATCCCCAGTATCCCTCCAAAAAACAAAAACACACAAACTTTCTTTTCTGTACTTATTGCTATTCTCTAAACAATGTAACTCAATTAAACTTATTTCCTACATTACTTCCTGTTGTTAAATGCCAAGGTCTTTTCTTGTTTCCTCAGAATCTTTGACACAACTCTTACTACATAACAATTCAGTGCCTTTGCATTCTCTTATCCTCTGCTTATTTAATTTAAATCTACGTTTCAAGTCTCTCCTTTTACATCAAATCTTTTCAGGGATTTGCAACCTACCATGATCTTGGAACTCCTACAAAGAACATCATGTATTCATTTCAACACTGTGCTCTTTTTCAATTAGTCAGTGTGCCTTATCTATTTCTCTTTGAGATCTGTAACAGTGAATTTCCAAAAAATATCAGAGCTCTTATGAGAGATTAGTAATTAGTAATCATTTGAACAATTGCTGATTAGATGATATACCATGTCATACAATTAATTCAATTAGATTAGATAATAGTTTCAGATGATGTTATTAAATGTAGAGTACTTGATTAAAAGCTATTTAAATGCACATGTTCATATATTCTTGTTAAATTTCTTTCTCTTTACTAAAACATTTGTACCTGTTTTTGATTTCTTTTAATTGTGCTTTTTAATTCTACTAGTAAGACTCTAAGGAAATTAAATGAGCCAACAAAGTGAACACACATAATAAACCAGTCTCACTATCAAAATATGGAAATGACTTATGTTCTTTCTACACATTTGTCAAAAGTGACAAATAAAATGTTGTACAGATAAAAGGACTTACTTAGATCACTGGTACTCAACCTAGGTTGCATTTTAGAATCAGTTGAAGGGTTTGAACAATTCCAATGCCTATTACCTTACCCCAGAGACGTCTATTTAGTTGGATTGGTATAAGTCTGGCAACAAGGTTTTAAAGGTTAGTCAGATAATTCTTTTGGGCAACTGGGGATGCCACTGGTTAGAGGTTATTCTTAGGATCTTCTCTAGTTCACTTTCTTCTCACATTTTTTCTTTATGAACATGCAGCCTGCCTGGAAAGATTCAAGGCATTTATCTGAATATTCCTTTGCTGTCACCAATAGAATCTGTTGTACATGTATATACAAGTAGGGATGACAAGATGCCTTTATTTTGAAAACTACATTATGGTAGTATCTTTCTGTATTTTCAGTAGGTAGAAATACCATTCACATACATTAGAGATAAGGTAATAACTAAAATATCATCCTGGCAAGGAGATAAGAGAGAAAGGAAGTCTGTAGCTACATTAACTATAAATGAGAGTCATACATACCTCACTGATGGACCCCAGATGATCAGCAAAGCTGTTTACTTCTGACAGAAGTAGAGATATAATAGATTTTCTCAACAAGCTGCAACTTCCTAGGGTTACCAGACTCTGAGAGATATAATGCTGCACCTGAAACTAAAAATAAAAATGACTAAGTTTCTACTTTATATCAAGTCAAATAAAAGTGTATTTAATGGGCATTTTCTAACACTTTCTACTAAGCTAAATGCTATGGGTAGTGCAAAAAAAGTCAACATAATTCTAGGAAGTCTCAAGCAAAATTGTAAAATAGACAAATTATAACAATCTAAGCACTATGACTTTATACAGCAGTTAAATTTTGAAATGTATGACAGGGTACTAAAATGAAACTTTTAACTGAAATATCAAAAGATAATATAATAGTTTAGATGATAGACTGTATGCAGAATGAATAAAGATGATGAAACAAGACACTTAAATCTTATCTGATGGATGGCAGACAGTTACAAAATGGTAAGATAAGTTTGAAGATGTCTTTGGGAAGAGCTATGGGTACTCTTTAAGTTCCACTTCCATACTGGACAGGGACAGGAGAGAGAGACTTCCCAACTTGCCACAGGTTAAAAAAAAGCAGGGGGGAGCTTAATAGTGATGAGGAAAAAATGTGGGTTACTCAGAGTTTTTATATACAGGCAAAAACCATATTTACCATTAAATATATTTAAAAGGACAGTGGAAAAATAAGCTACATCTCAATAGTTATTAAGAGTAATGCCATTTAATTATTAAACACAATAAGGTATGTAAAACATGACTGGGAATTAATTTAATCTATCCTTTAACAAAGTGATGAGAAAGGAGGCTTCAAGTACTATCTCAAAACACAGAAATAGTCATATACTTTGTCAGAGCTTTACATGAGCTTAAAATCATATTGAGAATACACTGTTTTCAATGAAAATAAATAATGCCACACGCAACTTATAAATGTCACCTTTGTGTCTTTGAGACTTCTCAAACTGATATTTTAATAGTATACATTAATTTAAAAAATTAGCCAAATAACAAAATGAATATAGAGTTCAATAGAAATATTGACTAAAAATATAGACAGGCATAACTGGCTCTTAATAGTATTTTAATACTATTAGATTAAATTAATGCTGAAAACACATCAAGTTATTACCATAGGAAATCATAGATATTTATTTATCATTATTTTTTTTAATTTTTTTTATTGGTTGTTCAAAACATTATAAAGCTCTTGGCATACCATATTTCATACATTAGATTCAAGTGGGTTATGAACTCCCATTCTTACCCCAAATACAGATTGCAGAATCACATCGGTTACACATCCACATTTTTACATAATGCCCTATTAGTAACTGTTGTATTCTGCTACCTTTCCTATCCTCTACCATCCCCCCTCCCTCCCCTCCCATCTTCTCTCTCTACCCCATCCACTGTAATTCATATCTCTCCTTGTTTATTTTCCCATTCCCCTCACAACCTCTTATATGTAATTTTGTATAACAATGAGGGTCTCCCTCCATTACCATGCAATTTCCCTTTTCTCTCCCTTTCCATCCCACCTCATGTATCTGTTTAATGTTAATCTTTTCTTCCTGCTCTTCCTCCCTGCTCTGTTCTTAGTTGCTCTCATTATATCAAAGAAGACATTTGATATTTGTTTTTTAGGGATTGGCTAGCTTCACTAAGCATAATCTGCTCTAGTGCCATCCATTTCCCTGCAAATTCTATGATTTTGTCATTTTTTAGTGCTGCGTAATACTCCATGGTGTATAAATGCCACATTTTTTTATTATTTCTTAATAATGTCATTAACTAAGATCCACGCCCTTCATAACTCTCCAGCACTATTAGACATTAGATTTCAGATTTTCACAACATTTTCATTTTTGTAATGAAGCAAAGTTTTCTCTTAGCTAACTCTAAAGACTTCTCATGATTATTTCACTGATGCTTTAATTGTGTACTTAAGTCCTTTCTCAATATTTCATTCTTTATGCAACAATTTAAGGTGAAGAAAAAGTTCAGAAAAATAAAAGATGCTTTAGAGAATAGTAATAAAATGATGATAGTAGTGATGGGGTTTATAGAACCTAGCATTATCTGATTCAAATCTCAGCTTCACTGCTCAGGAACTTATACTAGTAACTTACTTATTAACTTCTCTGTTTCACTTCACAGTGCAAAATCGCAATTGTGCTAGTAAATGTTCAGTGGAATGGTTGTGCCCACTAAGTTAAGCAGTAAAAATTCTTCAAATAGTGTCAGGCACCTAGTAAGTGCTCAATAATGAAATGTAACTTAGGACAGTAATAAAAAAGCACTTAAGTTTATATAATAATATTTTAATTAATTGACATTTGTAAAGTTAAATACTATAAATAAAATTTACTTTTTTTTATTTCTCCAAATATTTTTTTATTGGTTGTTCAAAACATTACAAAGCTCTTGACATATCATATTTCATACATTAGATTCAAGTGGGTTATGAACTCCCATTCTTACCCCAAATACAGATTGCAGAATCACATCGGTTACACATCCACATTTTTACATAATGCCATATAAGTAACTGTTGTATTCTGCTACCTTTCCTATCCTCTACTTTTCTAGAGTTAATAAAATCCTGTTAGAGAACACTGATAAGGAGAAAAGAAAATTTCATCATAAAGAATTCTTCCACAGCTATTAATTATTATGTGTCCCCAACATGACTTAAGTATATATAGAGCAAAGACTATGTAACCCTTACTGTGGCTTAAAATTCTGTGACTATTATTATAAAAAATGGTCTCTATGCTTCCTTAAAGGATAATTGCTTCTTGCCTTTCTTAAATGCAGTGGAACTTTTTAGAGAGACTGGTGTGGAGGACAGGACTCAGGACAATATCATACAAGGCTACTGTATTGGAAACGCTAGAAGAATTTACTCAACACCCACATCCATCTTTTCCTATCACCTCTTTCTGTATTTTAGAGGCTGAGTAACTATAATTAACTTCTCCCAGATTCCTCTGCAATTAGGATTTTAGATATTAGCTGAGTTTTACCAACCAGAGCTCCATATTTGAGCCCTATAAGTGAATTATGGAGGAAGAGAAGTAGGCATAGGGTGTACATTTGGTTGGGGCAGGTTATGGAAGAGGTAACTCATTTATTGCTAGTTCAGAAGCTACCTAATTATGCAGGTTCTTCATCAGAGCAGAAGTAGCAGCCACCTTGCTGGCACTATGGTTTAGGAAGTTATTTCTGAAACTTGACCTTCCAAAAGGTGCTTTGATCTTCAGCTGGAGGATTACAGAGTTCATTGCTACATTAAATTCTTGAAATATGCAAGGATAGAAATTCCTACTACATGCCTAATTAGTTTGCTTATATGAACTATGGAGAAGAGAGAAGCATCTTGGAGAATGGCTATGAATTATCATAAACTAAATCAGTTGGTGTTTCCAATCTTGTATTGCTGTTGTTCCAGATGTAGCTCTCTTCTGGGAAAGATCAACATTATCCCTGCTGTTTGTTAGGTAGGTTTTTATCTTGGAGTTTTTCATTATCCTAATTAAGAGACAAATGAACCAGTTCATGTTCACCTAGTAGACAGAAACATATGTTTTCTGTCCTTTTTAAGATTATGTCAACCTGCTGGCCCTTCGCCATTATTTACATTCACAAAGATTCTAATCATACATATACTCCACAGGACACCATGCTGGAGTACTATGCTGATGTTATTATGATGATATAGCAGGATCTGTGCATGCCAGAAAGTAAAAAAAATAAATCCCAGAATACAGGGGCCTGAGATACTTGGAAAGTTTCTGTGTAAGATGCACACTGTAATACTACTTCCAAAGTGAAAAACAAGTTGCTTTCACTTGTATTTCTTATAATTAAGACAAAGATACGTTTGAAAGGTCTTTGTGGATATTTAAGGCAACATATATCCATTGGTCTTACCACTTGAATGCATATATTGAGTAAATCATAAAGCTTTAAATTCTGAAAATGGGCAAGAGTATTATATGAAGAACTCCAGTTGTTCTAAGTTGGAGAATGAGAAACTTTGACACTTAGATTTCACAAACAGTTCAATGTGCTTGGAGCTGATAAATATATGGAGACTGTAGCCCACCCCTGATAAGAAAATCACAAAGGAGGGACCAATCAGATTGTAATAATGCCAAACCTTTCTTGACAACTAAATATTATTATTTTATAAGAAAACAAAACAAATCTCTTTGCTTCTACTATTTGGCCCAACTTAGACTGAATGTCCACCTGATCACAGACTATCAAATGGCTACACAACCAGAGCTACAAATTTGAACTGGGTGCTATCTAAAATCACATATGTAATACAACAATCCATCAAGTAATCATTAAATTAACATAATTTGGATAAATCAAGAACTAAAAGCAGAAGTAAGTTTTGTTTAATCTTCAGATACTTACAATTCCAACTAGGAGACCACTCCCAAAGGTTGGGTTACTGCAGGATATTTATGTTTCAAACCAGAGGTCAATATATACTTTTCATCCCATTTAAGATTATAACTACAGGGGTTCCTCTAAAAGCATATAATAGCACTAAGCTTCAGTATCATATTTTTAAAAATATATTTTTTTTCATTTGAAGGTGGACAAAATACCTTTATTTTATTTATTTATGTGTGGTGCTGAGGATGGAACCGAGAGCCTCAAACATGCTAGGTAAGTACTCTACTGCTAAGCCACAACCCCAGCTCTAGTATCATATATTTAATAAATAATTTGAACAAAAACTTGCAACCCAAAAATTCAGACTATGCAGTACTAAGAGAGGCAGTACTGTAGTTAGCAGAATTAAGATACAAATGAATTTTCTAAGCTATAACAATAGGGCCAAGTAAGCTAAAATCAATGAATATACATGTAAAGGTATGTCTATTTAATTTCCTGTAGTCTGGTACAGAAAAGAAATAAAGATATTTAAAATACTTTCTACGTGCTAGGCACCTATTCAGATTTTAGCTAATGACAACTAATGTCCAAAAGAATACAAAACATTCAAGAAAGGATCAGTGGCACCTTCATAAAGGTCCTCATATTTCCCAGAAGAATCACATGTGGGTTTGGACCTG